AAGTGCCAAGAGATGTTAGGAGGTAAAAGGAGCAAATTTCCTTTGTCTTTGTTGTGAGGTGCTATTGCTTAGTTTCTGCCACTGAATGGGCATGGGCAAAGCCAGGGCTTCCCATGCAACATTTATTCCCTTTCTAAAAGTGAAGCATTGAGATAACCCTGTGGTACAGCCCCTACATAGCTTCCAAGAGTCCTCATATTTAATGCCAGTAGCAGAAGGCACAGACACACACATGAAGAAGGCTGAAAGAGAATATGAACATTAGCCAAGACTGAAAGTACTGAACTGACCAGGGCATCTATGTTCACCTTCCAAAAGGCAGACCCTTCTCAGAGGAGGGTTCATAATCAAGTTTTTCTCTGGATATCTGTGAGGAGCCAAACTGTGAAGAACACTCCTGACCACCTTGCTTCTCTTAGCTCACATTTCTCTGGGGATCAGGAAGGTTTTCATGAAGATATTTTGAACTGCCATGCTTAGAAAAATCCTGTTCTACCTCATCTGGTAACTGTCCACAATGGCCTCTGAATTCACATATGTATGTGAAATCCCTTCACTGGGCTTCCCTTAGAAAAGACCATTGTCACTCCTATGGACTAAAAATAGGCTTTTTGAAGATTCTCATGTGATCCATAGTTAAATAAATATTGGAATATAGAATTACCTTTCTCACTCATTATCCTCTTAGCCTCCTGCATCACAACAGTTGGCTACTTTATCCCACCGGCATTTGTTTTTTATGTCTCTAGATAACATCGCTTTCCTAGTGATCATTGGTTCTTTATTGAATTGACTGACTTTTTCCTCTCCTAAATTTCTCATTAATAGCATGTTTTAAAATTTCTTTCAGTTCTTCTTGTCTTTGTTTGTTCTTTCCATGTGTATTTTGAGTATTACTGATAATTTGGGTTTGGGACGGGGGTTTGCGAGGATGGTTACTGTTTGGTTGGTTGGTTTTTAAGACAGGGACTTATGTAGCCCAGACAGACCACAAACCCACAAGAATTATCTTTACCTTCTGTTGTCCACCTTCCAAGTTCTGGGATTACAGGATTTTGAAGTCATGTCTAGTTTATGAAGTGCTTGGGATGGAGCCCAGGAACTTGTACATGCTAGTAAAGTGCTACAACAAATGAATAGAATAGCCCTACTTCTATTGATCTGTCATTCCCACTTTTACAGTAAGTTCTGCATCTCCATATTGCCAAGCCTTTAAAAAAATCAAATTTCTTTTTATTTTACGAAGTGAACAAGTAGCATAGTACTGATTATTAAGATGTCAGATTTTTCTGGGACTTTTTGTTATGGTTTTGCATTTGTACATAATCAATTACAATTACAAAAAGTGGTGATATATTGAATATTTAGTTCTCATTTGGTCGTGTCATACCAAGAGAAATCATTATCACTATGAGAAAGCATTATTCCCTTTACAGTATGGTCTTTAATTTTCGATTAGATTTCTTTACCTTTAATTGAGTGAAAGCAAGCAGGCTTCAGAGGACAACTTTCAGGAGGCTGTTCTCTCCTTCTACTATGTGGATTCTAGGAATTGAACCCACATTCAATCAGCAAGCTCTGCAGCAAGTGCTTTTACCACTGAACCATATTATCAGCCACTACACTGTGATCTTCAAATGCCCTAATATTGCAGAAGGCATGGTGGTGAAGTCCAGTAATACCAGTACTTGGGAGGCAATAGTAGGATACACACCAGTTTAAGACAAACTTTGTTTATCTATTAAGACCTCATCTTTTTCTGAAACATTATAAACATTGCAATGTCTGCATGAGTGGGGTGGTTCCGTTTGAACCTCTTTGAGGCACAAAAATCTTGGGAATGGAAACCTAGACTTCCAGTTTGTATTGTGTTCTTGCATTAACTCTTATGTTTACCTCTGTCCCAAACCATTTCAGATAACTTTCAGGAACTACTGTCTGTTGCCTAGATAAGAAAAGACAGACTCCAAGGCTCTGATTCTTAGCTTTCTGATTTTAGAGACTGAGTGGGTACTGATGTCTATTGAGATCACCTAGCATCCAAGAAAATTTAAGGCCTAGATAGGCATAAAGATTGCTACCTGAATTTCAAGCTGGGGACCACTGAACATGGTGCCCAGCATCTTGTCAACCCTTTACCTGACCATGTTGACAAGCTCACTGCATCTACTACAATCATCTTGTTACATATAACACCAGTTCCATGGTGGTTGAGGTTTGCACATGCTCCTTTATGTTCTAGATGAAGTAGGAGACAAGTGTAACACCCACTATTTCACACAAGTACCTGATACAGCTCCTACTGTCTAGAGTTAAAAGTACTTCAGTATCTTCTATTTGTAATCCTTTTTTTGATACACTACTGAATTATAATGCAAGAAACCATACTCAGAATGAAAAAGGCTTTGGTCGTGAATCAAAAATTTGATAAACAAATGCATAACTATTTTTAGGTTAAAGTATTTGAGATGTAAATTGTATAGCTTCCCAATAGGCCTAGCTTTGCATAAGTGATCAAATAGTAGTCCATATCAAATCATGAAAGAAGCATTGCCACTACATAATCATGCCAGAGACCTGAACAGCAGGTCCCAGGCTGCTCAGTTTTCTCTCTTACTACATATGAATTTATTTACCTGAATCCTTGACTTGTGGTAAACTCCATCAGGGAAGAGATTATACCTCAAGTTTTATGTATTATCTTTCTCAATATATTCACTAATCCACATTGTATTAGAGCTAGCTAAACACAGGTTTCTCCTTCCGCCAGCCTCCACTGGACCTGAATTAGTTACATTTCTCACTGCTGTGATCAAATTTCTGATAAGAATAACTTAAGAGTTTATTGTAGCTTTTAGTTCAAGGTGGCATAGCACATCATGGCAGGAGGGTATGGTAGCAGGAGAATGAGGCAACTGTTCGTGTTGCCTATGCTATCAAAAGACTACAAGAAGTAGGGATAAACTAAGATGTCTCAAGGAAGGCCCCTACTTCCTTGTTGTACATCCACTACCTCTACTTAGGCCTAAGATAGGGTCTGACTCCAGCTGGGATTGAGTTAAAACACTATTTGATATGTCACACAGTTGTGCTTGGAACTGTATACTCCCGAGGTAAGGCACTCTACCATATGTGTTTTTGTTTTGAACTAATAAGACAACAAAGAAGCAATAATGCCATTCAGGAAAATAGAAGCAACTACAAAAATGAGTTGTGGCTCAATTTCTGTTCTTAAAATTCTTAAGTAACACAATAGTTAGCCAACAGTTTGAGGAAGCTTAGCTATAAAATGAAATAGAAAAAGTGGCTGAGAGGGTGGGTGATGTTAAAAAGAAGAGAGTGTCTAAAGACACAGGTGGCTAACGAACTAGAGGTTGCTGACTCCCTGCTCAGATGTAGTCCATAGGTAGTTCAGTCTCCAAGTGGGTTCCCTAGTAAGCAGAGCAGGAGGAGTCTCTGACATGAAGTCGGATGCCTTCTCTTTGATCACTTTCCCTTGGCAGGGTGGCCCTACCAGGCCACAGAGGAAGAGGATCCAGTCAATCCTGATGCAACTTGATAGGCTAGGGTCAGACAGTAGGGGAAGAGGACTTCCCCTTTTGGGTAGACTAAGGTTTGGGGGGGAAGCAAGGGAAAGTGGGACCAAGAGGAGTTGAGGAAGGGGGATATAAAGTGAATAAATTGTAAACATTAATAAAATAAAAATTAAAAAAGAAAAGGAATGCATTTTTAAATTCTGTTCAATTGACTTCCCCTTTTGAACAATTTGCTTCACACTAAAGCATTCCAAAGCTGCTTTGTATTGCTGTGGCATTTCCATGACAAAATCCTTTTCACCTGTTAGGGTAAGTTTGAGGGTCAGCTATCTTTCTGGATGAAAGGATTAGGCATTTGCTGAGGATTCTTCACTGTCAAATACAAACGGTGCTAAGAGGAGAAAGGGCAGAGTATAAGGTGGCATGGTTCAGATATAAAGCAAAGTTGACACAGAGCAGGGCAAGAACTATGCTCTCAGAATTAGGACTTTCTTCAACAATTAACTTCTAATTGACTTAATTGGACTGCTTTCATCTTCAAAGCAAAATCAAGTAGAAATTATAAAGATTTCCCATATTTCCTTTGTTTCTTCACATGCTTCATCTCCCCTGTTATCAATGCCCCCATCTAAGCAGTGTGACTATGAAAACTAAAGAAAACTACATTAACTTACTGCTCTCACCTGATGTGATTTTATTTTTAATTTATTTACTTTACATCCCTATCACGGCTCCCTCCCTCCTCTCCTCCTGTTTCCACCCTCACACCAATTTCCTCCTCTCTCCCTCCCCTTCTTCTCAGAAAAGGTGAGCCCTCCCACCAACCCCCACCCCTGCCCAGCACATCAAATCAGGACTAAGCACATCCTCTTCAACTGAGGCCCAACAACCCAGCTGGTGGAAAGTGATCCAAAAGTAGGCAACAGAGCCCCTGTCAGAGACAACCCACATTCTAATTGCTAGAGGACCCTCATAAAGACCAACCTGCCCATCAGCTATATCTGTGTAGGGAACCTTGGTTTTTTTCAAGGGCTTCATTTTATACCCATAGCAAATAGAAAGTGGAGGATGAACGATAGCATTCCATCTTTAATCCTAGCAGTAAGGGGAACAGAAGCAAGTGGATCTCTGTGATTTCAAGGCCAGTGTAATCTACAGAGTTCCAGGACAGCCAGGGCTACACAAAGAAACCTATCTCATAAAAAACAAAAATCCTATAATCTATCATCTAAACCCTAAGTCATACACAGTCAGAGCATCTTCAACTTGCATCCCAGAAAAAGAAACTTTAAATTTAAACAAAAACTTGTAATGAAGATTCAAGTTCTTCCTCTCATGACCAAAAGAAAGGGGAACAATCCCTTTCCAAGAAGAATCAGTATATTCCTTTCTTGTCCCCTTGTCCCAATTCTTCTCATCTTTATCATGCTCATCATCATCAACATCATTCAGTAAATCTCACCATTATGTACAATATTTCCAAATCTGGTCTTTGTTGTAATTTGGGGTGAGTGAACACCACTTTTTTCCAAACACCTCCCCATCCTCCGTACAATCCCAGTAGATCAGGTGTCTGTACCAGAAGGGAAAGGCACATGGAGCATAGTCTGTAAGAGAGTCAGTAAAAAGAGGAACATTTTCTTCTTTGCAAAACACACACACACACACACACACACACACACTTCTGTACAATATGCTCTTCTCTAGTCCACCAATAGCTTAAAAAATAAGATTGGTACTACCTTGCACTCTATTTCTCCTTTGATGTTCTACAAGGAGTTTTCTTGTCAATATGTTGGAGTCAAAACACCACTAATACAGATGTATTAGACTCTATGTGATTTTGATGCTGTCAGAAATTATGTGTCTCATGGACTTGGGAGACAGCTCAATATCTAAATTCCTGTGTTCATGGATGACCCAAATAAAAAGCCAGGCATCGTATTACATGCCTTTAATTTAAACACTGGGAAGGTAAGGGCAGGTGGGTCCCCTGGGCTTACTGACTAGGTAGTCTCACCAAATTAGCAAGCTCCAAATTTAATGAGAGACCCTGTCTCAAAAAATAAATAATAATAAAAAGGTAGAGAATACTAGAAAGAGATACATGACATTGATCTTTGGCTTCTACATGCTTACAGGTACACACCCATACATAAAACATTATGCACTCACACCTAACAACAAAGAGGTTGTGTGACTCTAATCCTCACAAAAAAAAAATACTCTGGATTCTGAGTTCTTGTCTATCACACAAAATGGTTTCCAAGACAAGGGATGACCCTTCCATCTGTGAAATTTAGAGTCAAGACACTTACCTGACAGAGAACAGTATTTCCAGTAACCTTGAAAAGTCTTGTTCAAAGAACACCACTTGTGTTTTGCATTGAAATTGACACAGTCATAGAATATTTCATTTCTATACCAGAATGGAAAGGCACATTCACCATCTAAAGGAAAACAAAAATCCTTTATCCATTCCTGAGTGTGTTATTAGAGTTTTTTTTTAAACTGAATTTCTGCCCTAAGACATCTATATCAACACAGACAGAGAGATGGAGAGGCAGAGACAGACAAACATACACACAGCTCAGGGAACATCTCACAAAGGGGGTGGAAAGAATATAATGCCAGAAGGATGAAGAGCTATGACATGCTGTCTTCTAGACATGCCATGGTCATTGCTCTCATGAATTCACTGCAGCTGTGGTGACCTGCCTAAGATCAAGCCAACAAGATCAGCCATCACTATTAAACCCAATGAGTTACCAAAAAAGAAAAAGTAATAATAAAGGGGACATGAAAGGAGAAAGGGGGTGTTAGAAATGTGAGGAGTGGGACTGGTTGTTAGAGATGCATAGGATCAAAATACATTTATTTACATTTAAATACATTTATTTACATGTGTGAAATTATTGAAGAATAAATACAAACCATTCTAATGTGACAGAGTTTCTGTTAATATAGAATTATTACACCTCCCTCTCCTTTAAATGTGTTAAATTTATATTTTTTTAATTGTTCAATTTAAAAAGTCTTAAGTGAGTTTTTTCAGGGCTCAGTGGTTAAGAGCATATATTGCTATTACAGAGGACCCTTGTTCAGTTCCCAGAATTCCAGCACGGTAACTCATAACCACCTATAATTCAGGCTCCAAGGGAAAGGGGATACTATATATATGGCCTCTGCAGGCAACTGCACTCACATGAGCTCACCCAAATACAGTTTTAGGCACATACATAACTAAAACCTAAAAATACTCTTAAAACAAAAAGGTGAGTTCTTCCTCAGAATTCCTGACCTCAGAAATCAAAGCCACTATTAGAACTGTGAAAGCCATTATGACAAAAAATGCACAAGACCTGTGTCTTAGTTAGGGTTTCTATTACTGTGAAGAGACACGATGACCATCTCTTACAAAGGAAAACATTTAATTGGGTCTGGTTTACAATTTCAGAGGTTTAGTCCATTATTGTCATGGCAAGAAGCATGACAGCATTCAGGCAGTCAGGGTGCTGGAGAAGGAGCTGAGAATTCTACATTGGGATTGGCAGGCAGCAGGAAATGAACTGGCTTGAGTTTCTGAGACTTCAAAGCCCAACCTCTAGTGACATACCTTCTCCAACAAGGCTATACCTCCTAATAGTGTAACTCCTTATGAGTCTATGGGAACCATTTTTATTCAAACCATCAAAACCTGCACCAAACAAGCATCAAAAAATATTGCTTATTTGACTCTGCCTAGGTTGGTGCCATGTTTTTTTGTTTGTTTATGCCGCCATGTTCTGTGTTATGATTATTCATGTCAATATTACTAGTTTATAACTATTTTTTAATTCTTTATTAATTACATTTTAGATGTCATGTTTTTATATTGAAATATCTATACTATGGTTAGACAATGATTATAAAACTTAGTGGTCTTCTACTTCAGTGTTGTTTTATTCACAATATCTGAAATTATTATTGGTTGATTTTCTATATAAAATTTAAAATCTGTAATTTCCTATTAGAATGGCAGAAGTTCAGATGAAAAGGGAGGAGGACCTCTGCTATCCATGGACTTGGAGAGGGGCATAGGAGAAAATGAGGAAAGAAGGATGGGTTTGGGAGGGGAAGAGGGAGGGGGCTACAGCTGGGATACAAAGTGAATAAATTGTAATTAATATAAAAAATAAAAAGAAAAAAGAAAGGCAGAAGTTTAAAAGTATAAATTTTTAGTGCTGGTAAAAATTCATGGTGGCAGGACACAGAGGAAGACAATGCAGCCAGTCCTGATGAGACCTGACAGACTAGGATCAGATGGAAGGGGAGGAGGACCTCCCTCATCAGTGGACTGGGGGAGGGGCATGGGTGGAGAAGAGGGAGAGATGGTGAGATTGGGAGGGGAAGAGGGAGGGATCTACAGATGGGATACAAAGGGAATAAACTATAATTAATAAAAATAAAATATAATAAAAATTTCACTGTAGCATAATCCACTGTTTTATCTGCTTACAAGGGACATATGGAATGTTTAATGAAAAAAGAGAAAAAGAAAACTTTTATTAGAAGCAAAATCACTAATATTTCCATTTTATGGCATCAGTAGAGAACTCACGGGGACTGGAAAGATAGCTCAGTGGTTAAGAGACTGGATGATCTTCCACAGTACCTGGGTTCAGTTGCCAAAACCCACATGGCTGCTCACAGCCATTTGTAACTTCAGATCCAGGGGATCTGATGCCTTTTTCTGGCCTCCACTGGCAGTAGGCATAGATGTTGCAAACAGACATACAGACAGGCAAAACACCCATATGCATAAAATTGAAATTAAAAATAAAGAGCATGTATTAATAATCAAAATTTTCTGATCAACTTACCTTCTACCTCTGGATTTTTAATTATAGAATCTGAAAAATAAAAATTTTGGTAAAGTTTATTTTAATCTTAGACTTTAAAATAGATTCTTCTAACAAATAACATTAATAGATAAATTGGTCTGAGGAAAAACAACACTGGCATGAAATTATGTCAAGGATATTGTCTTACTGTTTCATTGCTGTGAAAAGACACCATGACCACAGCAGCTCTTACAAAAAAAAAAAAACATTTAATTGGGGCTGGGTTACAGTTTCAGAGATCTAGTCCATTACCATCATGGTGGGAAACATGACAATGTGCAGGTAGACATGATGCTGGGGGAGTCGAGCTTTCTACATCTTGATCCATAGGAGGCAGAAGGAGACTGTACCACACTGGGCAGAGCTTGAGCATAGGAGACCTCAAAGCCCACCCCTATAGTGACACATTGTTGCCACACCTAATCCAACAAAGCCACACCTCCTAATAGTGCTGCCACCTATAGGTCACACAAATGAGTCTATGGGAGCCATACCTATTCAAACCACCACAGATATCACACATGTTCTGTTTTCAGATCCAGTTTTATGCTCCTGAAATAATTTACTTTATAAAAATCCTACATATTTGTTCATTGCTGGGATTGAACTCAGGGCCTTGTGCATACTGAGAAAGCACTTAGCCATGTTTCCAATCCCTTACCAGGAAAACTCTTGCAGGCCCTCTAGTAATCCTGTACCTATCTTGATGACTTAATCCCAAAGTATTACATCATCAGTGTAAGAACTTTATCTCTTATCAAAGTCTGATTGGCTCTTAACATTAATTATCCAGAAAATGTATTTATAATACATTTATCTTATAGTAGCTACAAAGTCAGATTCTAATATTTTATTAGATTTACTAGTATTATTTTAAATAGGCTTATAGGTTATTTCTTTCTCATAATATCCCACATATTAGAAGTCATCTCTCCAGTCAAGTTAACTAGGATTGTTGACAATAGATAACCTGTGTTTCTGGGTTTAGTTAAAATGACATTCCAATTCACAGCAGTTCACTCAGAAAATCACAGCTGGTCCAAGTGCAGAGAATAAGTGTCTATGGAGTATTGCTACAGATTAAACATCTGTATAATAAACCCTGCCTCTGAGGCTTAAGGAATAACATGGATGAAGGGTAGAGAGATTGCAATAGCCAAAGAATAGGTAAAGCCAGACGAGGGAATTTTAATGCCCCCTCCTGGCTGCTATGAGTACCAGCACTAATACACACATACCCCCATAGAGACATACACTTACATATGAAAAATTAAGAGTAAAATAATTCAGCCAGGTGTGGTGGTGCACACCTATAATCCCAGCACTCAGCGGGAGATAATAATTTGTGAATTTGAGGTCAGCATGGTCTATAGAGAGAGTCCAGGAAAGCCAAGGCTACACAAAGACACCCTGTCTCAAAAAACAAAAGCAAACAAAACCCCTCTTTTTAAAAATAGTGAATTAAAATTAAAATGTCAGTCAGTAAAAGAATGCATGCTTTATAGTATACTAAGTTTAAAGAAAAACATGCTTTATAGTGTAGTAAGCTGTAACCAAAAATGACCATACAAACAGACACAGAAAAGTTCTGCTTCATAATTTTTGAAGTATTCAGTCTTTGAGAAAAGAAAATAATAGTTTGATATGTGCATAACAGCACAGTTAATCACTTGAAAGTACTGATAGAAAATTATTATTAATATTTTTGTTACTTCTTTGAGAATCTCATGTATATTTTAATTATACTCATTCACTCCAGTAAATTTTTCCAGATCCACACCACATTCCACACTCACCCAAATTTGTCCCTGTATATTATAAAGTATGTGGCCATACCAGAATTCACACTCTTGAAGAGATGTAACACTTCCTCTCTCAGCAGCTATCAATTAACAGTAGCTCCTCAGCTAGGGGTGGAGCTTATTGCCTATTTCACCATACCTAATAACTTATCATTACACCCACAGATTATTGCAGCACTTAACACTCATCAGAAAAGCTTCTTTTTGAATTAAATTTTTGTTTTTGTATTTATTACCATTTATTTATTTTGTATCCCAGCTGTATCTCCCTCCCTCATTCCCTCCCAATCCAACTCTCTCTCATCTCCTCCCATGCCTCTCTCCAAATCTACTGATAGGGAAGGTCCTCCTCCCCTTCAATCGGACCCTGTTTTATCAGGTCTGTTGGTATAATGTTCTTTTAAAATGTATACACCTTACCCTTCTTCATTCAAATGCTGATTTCTACCCCCCCCCCCGTTTCAATCTGGATATTGCATTGTGATACTCATTCTAAGCATCCTGTCTCAACTCTTGTGTAAACTGGCCAAAATAAAGCAACTAGACACAATGTTGAGCTGGGATGAGCCAGAGGACAGGAAAGGAGTGGGAGGAGAAAGGGTGAGAGGAGAGCTTAGAGAGAGCTTGAAGAGGAGAGCTGGAAGAGAGATCTTGGAACTACATGGAGAGATGGACTGGACCTAAGATATCACTAAAAGCAAGTATAATGTGGGAAATCTAAATGTTAGGAAACTATGAGGGCTTGGAGGTTTAGGATGGAGTAACTATTGCCCAGCATTGTGTTGGAGGTTAACTAAATAAGCCCAGTCTCTGTGTGATGATTTGGTTATACAGCTGTTTAGGATTAACAGCAAGCATTACCAGAAAATAAATCAATAGTAAATATTAATCGTCACTTACAACAAATGGTGCCCAACTAATCTAAGTATCCACACCCTTTAAATCATATTTTATCATAATTTGGTGGGGAGAATAAGCTCCCAGTGATAAAACCCAAACTTAAAACCTAAAAAAAAAAAAAAAAAATTGCCAAGTCAATTACTGTCTCTATAAGAGAGACTCTTAAACCTGCCCAGGAGCAAAAGACAGCCTCCTGTGGGTAGACCTGAGACTTCCCTAACAAAACTGGCTGCTGCTGCAGTTTAACTGAGGGGTACACAAGCATGGCTCTTTTATACTGTGGCTGGCTCAACTGGCTCAGCTATACAGCTATGGCAGGAAAGAAAGGAACTGGAGGCAAACAAACCTCTAGACAGAGTTTTGTCTAAACTGCATCTAAAATAAAAAAATTGCCATGGCAGAGGATATTTTAATCCCTTTGTCTTCATTTTGGCTGTCATATTCATGGATCTGGTTGCAATATGTTTAATGGTGTTGGTTCTTCTCCATGCCTTCTCCAAGAAAGATCAAGGAGAAAATGGGAAAATGACAAGGATTGGGATACTAAGTTACTCATAAGAAAAGGGGCACTCTTCCTAATAATTAGATTAATAACGGCTAAAATCCAAAGCTCACTGGCTGCAAGATACTTGTCAGCTCTTTCTGGTAAGGATCCGCCAATTCACTGAAACATCAACAAAAAATAAGCAACTGGGCTTTGTTTGTTAAAGCGTAAATTGGCACAACTGACCCCAAACTTAAAATTTTCTTGTCTCTTTGTTTGTTTAATTTTCATTTAAAGGCTTTGAGTTACAATGATACTGATTTAAAAATATATATATACACACAAATTGGTGAAGTCACATGCCTTTCTTTCCAATACAAAGTAAAAAGAAACAGACAAGTCTCTGAGTTCTGGATCAAGCTTATTTACATAATGAAAGCCAGGATGTTAACTCCTGCTGTTTAGCCATTTACAGAGATAGTCTAAGATTCAAAATGACAAAATTTTCCTTAAGTTTACCATGTAAATTCTTTTTTCTTAATAATAGATGTTATATCCTTAGTGATCTAAAAGTTGGATTCACAACAATTTTAGGTTTATGTAAAGAGAGATAATGTCACACTGCTCTGAAAACTGCCTTATCCTTTTAAATGTGAGATATTTTCACGGGGGAAAAATGTTGGTCATGCCTGATGTAAAAAAGACACAAGAGGCTTAAAGATGGCAAAGTACATGCCAACCTAGTTTAGTCCCAAAAACTCAAAAATTATGTTCATATGTTTAAAAAACAAAACTGTCCTTCCCATATCTAAAAGGGGGTAAGCCAAAAAATAGCCAAAGCCAATGTAAAAATCCAGGTACAAGATGCCTAGGATATATTTAAATGCAAAGGGTAAGAGAGTTTATATGCTAATGTTAAGAGAGATTAAATTAATTTCCGCTAAAAAGGCACAACTGTCCACTCTGTATAAAAAAAGGAACAAGCCAAAAATATAGCCACAAACAATGTAAAACCCAAGTACAAGATGCCTAGGGTATGCTTAAATACTAAGGGTAAGAGAATTTATATGAAACATAATGAAATCTATACACCTAAAAAAGATAATCAAGAGAGTGGAGATGGGGTTAGATTATCAATCCTCGTGTTGAAAGACAGAGGGGATGCACATTGAACATTGACAGGAGTCTACTGAGCGCATTTGAAAGACTCTAACTAGCAGTGTTTTCAAAGCAAAGACTCATGACCAAACCTTTGGCAGAGTACAGGGAATCATAAGAAAGAAGGGGAGTTAGTCTGATGGGGAAAGGATAGGAGCTCCACAAGGACCAACTATATCTGGGCACAGGGTCTTTTCTGAGGCTGACATGCAACCAAGGACCATGTATGAATGTAACCTAGAACCCCTGCTCAGATGTAGCCTGTGGTAGCTCAGTAACCAATTGGTTTCTCATAGTGAGGGGAACAAGGACTATTTCTAACAGGAACTCAATGACTGGCTCTTTGGCCTCCCCACCCCCCAAGGGAGGAGCAGTCCTGTTAGGCCACAGAGGAGAGCTTTGCAGCCAGTCCTGAAGATACCTGATAAAACAGGATCAGATGAATGGGGAGGAGGTCCCCCCTATCAGTGGACTTGGCAAGGGGCACGGTGGAGATGAGGGAGGGAGGGAGGGACTGGGAGGGAATGAGGGATCGGAACACGGCTGGGATACAGAGTTAATAAAATGTAACTGATAAGAAAAAAATAAAATTTAAAAAAGAGAGAATTTATATGCTAATGCTAAGAGAGTTTATATAAATGCTAAAAGTAAGAGGGAGTTTAAATAAAGTTTGGCTATAAAGGCACAACTGCCCATCGTGTATAAATAAGGGGCAAGCCAAAAAAATAGCCACAAACAATGTAAAACCCAAGTACAAGATGCCTAGGGTGTGCTTAAATGCTAAAGGTAAGAGGGAGTTTAAATAAAGTTTGTCTATAAAGGCATAACTACCCATTCTATATAAACAAGGGGATAGGACAAATAGCTACAACATATATAAAAATGTAGGGCTAAACCTCAAAACAGGTACAAGATACCTACAGTATGCTTATATTCTAAATTAAAAAGGAGTTTATATAAAGTTTGCTTAAAACGTGTTTTCTATTGTTCAAGGCAACCAGCTTATCTCTCTAATGGGAGGCTTCTCTAGGGAAATAGGTAGCACCTTGGCCTAATACAACAGGCACACAAGAGCCCGAAAAGATATTTTAATTTATCCAACCTAGTTTTGATGATAATGATTGTATGTTCAATAATAATGGTAACTTTTCTTGCTAATCCCTTTTCATGGGAACAACTCTGAAACTGACTGAGACAAAAATATGTCTCTAGCCAAAGCTTCAACATTACATGACCAAGAAATCCTTGGCTGTAATATGCTCAAAATGTATTATGATAACCTTTTAATTTGCATAGATAAAATTGGCTTACAGTTTAGCTTCACCTGCACATCTCATACACTTATAATTTTAGAACTCTGTAATGTTTGTGAGAAATTATATGTTTGCAAAACAAAAGAACTGGACACCAAAGATGCTGGATCAAACCTAACAGAATCATTCTTCAGCATGCTGAGACATTGACACATCTGTTCCAGCATCTTGCATGTTCTAGCATTCTGCTTGTTCCTGCCTCAACTGCTTCAATTGCCATTTCTCATCAAAGCCTGCTCCCAAAAGAACTTTGAAAAAAGCTACTAATTTTAACTGGTACAGCATTTTAGACTGTTCCAAAGAGGACTTTTATTAAGCCTGAAATTTCTCAATACTCAAAGACTGAACCACAAATGTTATTGCTTGCTTAATTAACCATTTTTATTTGGGCCCCCTACAGAATTTCTACATGTCCAAAATGTCAGCTAGAAGAAATCCAAGAGAACAACATCCAATTTTCCTTAAAGGGGGTTGGGTATGTTTTTGGTTGTTTGCTATGGCTATGAAATTTTACTGTCATTGGGAGATGTTTATTATTAATGGTCTTAATCAAAGTGAAACAAGAAATATACAGGGATATCTTATAGGAATAGAAAAAAGGTAGATTATTGAATCTACTCAACTTAGGGTTTTGTTATTCCCAAATGAGGTTAATTTTAACTCTGGTATAGGATTTTGCATACTGATGCAAAAATAAGTCTATTTTTGATACATTTGTATAAGCTTTAGTATATTGATAGAAAGTCAAGGTTATTTCCAATACTTTTAAACAGCTATTAAAAATGGGTTAAGGTATTAGGTAATGCAATTTATTTGCTAGTTATTGAACTCATAGTCATGTCAGACACTAGTCTAATTTATCACAGGAGTATACATCCTAGGTTTAACAGATACATATGATTTTATATACAGATCGATTATATAAAGATAGGTAGTCTTCAAAAATTTCAGAGACCTACAGAATATGGCATTTAAAAATCTATTTATTGTTTTAAAGATTCTTTGACAATGAGACAAGTCATTTCCTGGCAGCACCCCACCTACCTGAAAGAAGATAATGAGAATCGAAGAAGCTCCAAATGGAGATGGCTTCAAATGTGGCAAAGCCACTCAGGTAACGAAAATACCTTCGCTTCATGACAGACAACTTTTGCCAAAAATGGGCAAGCTTAAATGCAGGACAAGTCGACTGCCAAACTCTGCCAAGACAGGGTAAGCAAGTCCTAAATAGTTCCTGTTTCACATATATGTCTGTCAAATATTCTGAGCCAGAAGGCTGAGGATGATGCTCCAACATTATAAAGAGTTATGGGTGACTGTTCAGGCTGCAAACTGTTTCTGTCAATTTTTATTTTTTGAAAGCTGCTAACATGCACTTCCTATTTACTCTAATAACTAATTTTATTTCTACTCAAGTCTCTAATAGGGTTGAAGACCAAATACTTATACTGCCACAATTAAACCTAAATTGTTTAGAAGTTAAGAAATTCTTTCATATAGGTACTACCAATAAAGATAAAAGTTAATTTAGGTATAGAACTTTTAATTTGTCAACATAGATAGGATAATCAGATACTTTCTCCTGAGTTGCTAAATACACATGAACTAGACATTGCACGTGTAGATTTTACCTAACAGTTCTCATAATTTCATAATTATTGTATTGAAAGAAAAGGAGCCTTTTATTGGACTTAAAAGGGGAAATGTTGGTATAATGTTCTTTTAAAATGTATACACCTTACCCTTCTTCATTCAAATGCTGATTTCTACCCCCCCCCCGTTTCAATCTGGATATTGCATTGTGATACTCATTCTAAGCATCCTGTCTCAACTCTTGTGTAAACTGGCCAAAATAAAGCAACTAGACACAATGTTGAGCTGGGATGAGCCAGAGGACAGGAAAGGAGTGGGAGGAGAAAGGGTGAGAGGAGAGCTTAGAGAGAGCTTGAAGAGGAGAGCTAGAGGAAAGACCTTGGAACTACATGGAGAGATGGACTGGACCTAAAATATCACAAAAGCAAGTATAATGTGGGAAATCTAAATGTTAGGAAACTATGAGGGCTTGGAGGTTTGGGATGGAGTGACTATTGCCCAGCATTGTGTTCGAGGTTAACTAAATAATCCCAGCTCTATGTGGTGATTTGGTTATACAGCTGTTTAGGATTAACAGCAAGCATTACCAGAAAATAAATCAATAGTAAATATTAATCGGCACTTACAACAAGGTCTCATGAAGACTGGCTGCACTATCCTCCTCTGTGGCCTGACTAGGCTGCACCCCAAGTCAGGGGGAAGTGATCAAAGAGCCAGCCACTGAATTCATGTCAAAGACAGACCCTGTTCCCCTTAGTAGGAGGCCTACTTGGGTACTCAGCTGCCATGAGCTACATCTGAGTAGGGGTTCTAGGTTATATCCATAAATGGTCCTTGGTTGAAGTATCACTCTCAAAAAAGACCTCTGGGCCCAGATTTTTTGGTTCTGTTGCTCTCCTTGTGAAGCTCCTCTCCTCTCCAGGTCTTACTCTCTCCCCCTTCTTTCATAAGATTCCCTGTACTCTGCCCAGAGTTTGGCTATGAGTCTCAGCATGTTTTGATATATTGCTGTGTGGAGTGTTTTAAAGACACTCTGTGGTAGGCTCCTGTCCTGTTTCCTGCTTTCTCCCTTTTCCAATGTGCATCCCATTTGTCTTTCTGAGTGAGGATTGATCATCTTCCCCAGGGTCCTCTTTCTTGCTTAGTTTATTTTTATTTTTCTTTATTAATTACACTTTATTCACTTTGTATCCCCCCTGTGGTTTCCTCCCTCCTCCAGTCCCAATCTCTTCCTTCCTCCACCCTCTGCATGCATGCCTCTCCACAAGTCCACTGATAGGGGAGGTCTTCTTTTCCTTCCTTCTGATCCTAGTCAATTAGGTCTCATCAGGAGTTGCTGCATTGTCTTCTTCCATGGCCTGGTAATGCTGCTTCCCCCTCAGGGGGAGGTAATTAAAGAGCAGGCCAATCAGTTCATGTCAGAGACAGTCTCTGTTCCTATTACAATGAAACCAACTTGGATACTGAACTGCCATGGGCTACATCTGTGCAGGGGTCTTAGGTTATCTCCATGCCTGGTCCTTGGTTGGAGTATCAGTCTCAGGAAAGACCCCTGTGCTCAGATTTTTTGGTTCTGTTGCTCTCCTTGTGGAGTTCCTGTCCTCTCCAGATCTTACTGTTTCCCACTTCTTTCCTAAGATTCCATGCACTCTGCCCAAAGGTTGCCCATAAGTCTCAGCATCTGCATTGATAGTCTGCAGGGCAGAGCCTTTCAGAGGTCCTCTCTGTCAGGCTCCTGACTTGTTCCTTCTTTTCTCCTTCTTCTGATGTCCATCCTCTTTGCCTTTCTGGATCTTGCTTAGTTTCTTTAGGTGTACAGATTTTAGTATGTTTATCCTATATTATACGTTTAATATCAACTTATGAGTATATACCATGTATGTCTTTCTGCTTCTGGGTCACCTGATTCAAGATGATCTTTCCTAGATCCCACCATTTGCCTGCAAATTTTATGATTTCCTTGTTTTAAATGGCTGAGTAGTATTTCATTGTATAAATGTACCACAATTTCTGTATCCATTCCTCCATTGAGAGGCATCTGGGTTGTTTCCAGGTTCTGGTTATAATGAATAAAGCTGCTATGAGCATAGTTGAACAAATGTCCTTGTTGTGTACTTGAGCATATTTAGGATATCTGCCTAGGAATGATATAGCTGGACCATGAGGAAGTGTTATGCCTGAATGTCTGAGAAAGCACCAGATTGATTTCTAAAGTAGTTGTACAAGTTTGTATTCCCACCAGTAATGGAGGAGGATTCCCCTTTCTCCACATCCTCTCCAGCATGTGTTGTCACTTGAGCTTTTGATGTTAGCCATTCTGATGGGTGTAAGGTGAAATCTCAGAGTCATTTTGATTTGCATTTCCTTGATGGCTAAGGATGTTGAACATTTCCTTAAGTGTTTTTCTGTCATTCTAAATTCCTCTACTGAGAATTCTCTGTTTAGATCTGTAGCCCATTTTTTAATTGGATTACTTGGTTTGTTGCTGTTTTAGTACTTTAGTTCTTTATATATTCTGGATATTAGCCCTCTGTCAGATATAGCGTTGGTGAAAATCCTTTCTCAATCTGTAGGCTGTTGTTTTGTTCTGATGACAGTGTCCTTTGCTTTACAGAAGCTTTTCAGATTCATGAGGTTCCATTTATTGATAGTTGATCTTAGAGCCTGTGCTGTTTGTGTTCTGTTCAGGAAGTTGTTTCTAGGATCTTCCCCACTTTTTCTTCTAACTGATTTAGTGTGTCTGGTTTTATGTTGAGGTCTTTGATCCACTTGGACTTTAGTTTTGTGCAGGGTGATAAATATTTTCATTTTTCTGCATATAGACATCCAGTAAAACCAGCACTATTTGTTGAAGATGCTATCTTTTTTCCATTGTATGGTTTTGGCATCTTTGTCAAAAATCAACTCTCTGTAGCTGTGTGGATTTATTTCTGGATCTTCTAGTTGATTCCATTGATCTACCATTCTGTTTCTGTGCCAGTACCATAAAGTTTTTATTACTATTGCTCTATAGTATAGTTTGAGATCTGGGATGGAGATACCTCCAGATGATCTTTTGTTGTACAGGATCATTTTGGCAATTCTGGGGGGAGGGGGATCTTTTTGTTTTTGTTTTTGTTTTTTCATTTTTCCATATGAAGTTGAGAATTTTTCTTTCAAGGTCTGTAAAAAATTGTGTTGATATTTTGATGGAAATTGCATTGAATCTGTAGATTGCTTTTAGCAGAATGGACATTTTCACTATGTTATTCCTACTGATCCATGAGCACTGGAGATCTTTCCATCTTCTGATATCTTCTTCAATTTCTTTCTTCAGAGAATTGAAGATTTTTTTCGAACAGGGCTTTCACTTGCTTGGTTAGAGTCACACCAAGGTACTTCATGTTATTAGTGGCTAATAACACCTGTGAAGGGTGTTGTTTCCCTAATTACTTTCTCTGCCCTTTTGTCTTTGATATACATGAGGGCTTCTGATTTTTTTTTTAGTTAATTCTGTATCCAGCCACTCTGCTGAGAGTGTTTGTCATCTGAAGGAGTTCTCTGGTTGAATTTTTGGGATCGCCCATGTATACTATCATATCATCTGCAAATAGTGATACTTTGATTTCTTCCTTTCCAGTTTGTACCCCCTTGATCTCTTTTAGTTGTCTTATTGCTCTAGCTAGGACTTCAAGTACTATGTTGAAGAGATATGGAGAATGGGGAGCCTTGCCTTATCCCTGCTTTCAGTGGAATTGATATAAGTTTCTCTCCATTGAGTTTGATGTTGGCTATAGGCTTGCTGTATATTGTCTTTATTATTGTATATTGTCTTTGTATATTATTGTATATTGTATATTATATTGTATATTATTGTATATTATTGTATATTGTTGTATATTGTCTTTATTGTATATTGTTTAGGTATGTGTCTTGTATCCCTGATCTCTCCAATACTTTAAACATGAATTGATGTTGGATTTTGTCAAATGCTTTTTTGGCATCTAAAAAGATGATCATGTGGTTTTTCTCCTTCAGTTTGTTTATATGGTGGATTACATTGATGGATTTCCATATATTGAACCACCCCTGAATGCCTGGGATGAAGCCTACTTGTTCATGATAGATGATATCTTTGATGTATTCTTGGATTCTGTTTGCAAGTATTTTACTGAGTATTTTTTCATCAATGTTCATAATGGAGATTGGCCTGAAATTCTCTTTATTTGTTGAGTCTTTGTGTGGTTTAGGTATCACGGTTACTGTGGCTTCACAGAATGAGTTTGGTAATGTTCCTTCTGTTTCTATTTTGTAGAATAGTTTGAAAAGAACTGGAGTTAGCTCTTCTTTGAAGGTCTGGTAGAATTCTACACTGAAACCATCTGGCCCTGGGCTTATTTTGGAAGGGAAACTGTTGATGACTGCTTCTATTTCCTTAGGTGATATAAGACTATTTAATTGATTTACCTTGTCTTGATTCAACTTTGGTAAGTAGAATCAACCAAGAAAATTGTCGGCCAAGATGGCGGCGCCAGGAGAACACTGCATCTGAGGAGCAGGACAACACTTTCCGTA